TGATGATATAAACATATTGTGTATGTTTATGTGAATTAATGCGAATTGTGTTAATGGCATGAATGAATATGCTTGAAAATATGTGTATATATATTTGTGTGAATATATGTATATATGTAGGTTTATATGGATTGATATAAACATTGGTGATTGCATATTGTATATGCTTGATGTTCTATTTTTATATAGATACTTATATGGATACATTGCGATGTATAGAATGATTGAGGTGAGTTGTGGTGTGAATGCGGAAGATGTGCAAACTAATGATATGTATATATATGATTTATGCATTGAATATTATGATATTGTTTCTCACCCTTCTGTTGTTTTATGATGCTCTATGAGGCATTGCAGATTAGGTGCTGGTGATCCCTTTTTGTGAAGCGCATCTTAATTAGTTTTGGTCAGATGGCTCTGATATGTAACACCGGGTAGCATAGGAAGCCTTGGGCTATTTTTGATGAATACATTTGTATATGTATTATCGGTGTTTCATGTTTTGTAAACATGAATGTTGTTGATGAATTACATTGAATGATGTGAATATGTATATATGTGAATACATGTCGGTTGTGATTCAAATGTTTAGATTTTCCGCTTTTATTCTAAATATTTGAGACGTGGGTATAAGGACTAAGATCCTCTGATGTGTTTGTTGCCCATTGTTACATATCTATTATGAGCAGGTGTTGTATGTGTTTTAATTCAAGCATAATGTGACATGTTCCTGTTATACCGTATTTTAAATAATACTCTGATGAAATTTTGAATTCGTGCCTAAATGATTCGTTTGATTATTTGGGGGTATAGAAAGGGGGTGTTACAACAAACACATGAAAGTATTTAAATTGGGCTTTCTCCCCCTATATTTCATAATGAGTAGCCTTGGTGCCTAGTCGAGTTGTTACTCAATTGTGAATATGAAAACCAATATTCATTGCATCTGTCCAAAAATAGTACAAAATATTTTTGGCATGGATCATAACTCTAGCCATTTGTTTGCATGGTATGGCTCTTCCTTTGAACAACACCATTCTGCTGAGGTGTGATGGGAGCAAAAAATTCATGAGCAATTCCCTCAGTATTGCATAAGGTTGAGTTCTCAAATTCCTTGCCATGATCTCTTCGAATTCAAATGATATTTCTAATATATTTCCCTTTTTATGTCCTAGGCGATGACTCAATCCCTCAAAAACAAAAAAAGTATCAGACTCCTCATAAATGAATTCAACTCATGTGTATCTAGAGTAATCATCAACACAAACAAAGACATACCTCTTTCCTCCAAGACTCTCAACTTCATGGGTCTCATGAGATATATATGAAGTAGATCAAGCACACATGTAGTGGTAATATGTTGAATCTTCTTATGTGACATCTTGGTTTGCTTTCTCACTTGACAATCACCAATTTTTTTTTTTACCTTTTTCGCTCTTGAGATCAGGTAAGCCAACAATATCCTTTTCAACAACAATTTTCCCCATACTTATAAGATTTAAGGGGGCAAGCTTTATTTGTCACAACTTAGTTTCTTAATTTTTGGAAATTAAACAAGATTGAGGCTGATTCATATCGAATGTGACCATACATGGTAAATATTTGTAGGTTTGGATCTCTTCATTAATTGAGTATGTTTTTTATTTGTGACAGTGCATTCAATACTATTGAAATCAACACATAAATCTTGATTACATAATTGACTGATGTAATTAATATTAGAAGTAAGACCTTTTAAAAACAAAACATCATTAAGCCAAGGAATACCAGGATAGTCCATGTGTCATTTCCATCAATTTTTCCTTTAGCACCATCTCTAAAAGTAGCATAGTTGTTGGAATAATGTTTGATATCTTTTAGATAGTTTCTTTCACATGTCATATGTCTAGAGCAACCTCTATCAAAGTACTAGTCTTCACGAGATGATACTCTGAGGAACGTATAACCAATATGACCCATAAGTTTAGGCTTTAAACGTCAGAGATATGAAGGATATGGATTAGGCTTCATATTTCACTAAAGATATAATTGTTTGTGATGTAGTTGTTTACCATAAAATTTATGTGAGTAAGGATAAATGTGAGCACGTCGACCACAATAATGTTTGGTAGCTTATTGCGTCATCTTTCCTGACATTTGGGTCTCTACTTTATGGATAGAAGAGACAAACACAGTCTTTGAGTGGGATGATTCACTAGTATATCCAATTTTATTAATGTCCCTTTAAGGTTTTCCCATACCTAAAATGGCATCAAGATTCTCAGCTTCTGAATTTAGCAAGCATACAGATTTCGTCATTCCATCAAGTTTAGAATTGAAATGTTCAACTTCCTTCTTCAACTCAGAGATAGTGAACTTGATACAAGTTTTATCTTGAAGTAGGGCTTCAATCGTTTCCTTCTTCTTATCAACAACTTGTTATTCTTCAACCCACTTAAGATATAATGTATTATAAGCTTCATCAAGAGCATCGCCAAATAGATCATCATCATTGACATTCTAATTATCTTTTAGAAAATCACTACCATTGAGTAACCCTAAATTGGAACTTTCTTTGAAGTGAGTAGTAAATTCCACAAAACTATTTTCCTGATCAAACTCAGTTTCTTCGTCTTACTCATAATCCGAGAAGGTGGCATTGTAATTTTTTCTTTGTTTCCTTAGCAAATTTGGACATTTTGCTTGAATGTGTCCAAATCTCTCGCATTCAAAACATTGAGTTCCCTTGGTCGTGTCCCCCCCCCCCCCCCCAAAAAAAAAATATTTTCCTCGACGTTGAAATTTATACCTTTTGAATTTTTTTGTTCATTGCTTTTAACAATAAAAGAATATTCTCAAATCTTCTATCACGTCTTCTGATGACTTTGTAAAGTTATTACCACACAAGAGGATAAATTTAGTCATATTTTCATCAGTTTCATAATGTGTTTAGTCTTCACAAACGAAAGTATCCTCTTTGAACACGACACTCATACTCTTTTTCTCGAATTTTCTATTAATTACCATCTCTAAGGTGAGCAAAGAGCCAATCAATGCATCAACTTTCATCTCGAATACATTTTTCGCTTCCTCAATAGCTGTAACATTCATGTTAACCCTCTTTTCTAGAGATCTTATAATTTTCCTCACAAGCTTCTCTTCTTACATTTTTTCACCAAGAGCAAGGAATTATTAACAATGTCACAAAGACGAATATTGAATTCAAAGATACTTTCATCCTCACACATCTTCAATTTTCCAGATTTTGTGGTGAGGAGTTGAAGTCTTGACATGTGAACTTTAGAGGTACCCTCATGAATAATTTCAAGAGTTTCCCAAGCATCTTGAGCACCAGTGCGGGTGTTGATAATTTTGAAAATATTTTTGTCAGCTCCATTATAAATAACATTAGGAACACAAGTTTTTGCAAGAGTAACTTCATCTTCAATAGGTGTCCAATCTTTTCAGGCTTTATAGATATATAACTATCTTTAGTAGCGACCATTAGAGGGTTTCATCCATTGATAACCACTTTCCAAGTCTTTTTGTCAATGGACTTAAGAAAAGCTATCACATGAGCCTTCTAGTAGTAATAATTAGTTCCATCAAAAATTGAATAATGATTAGCAAATCCTCATTCGTTGGTATTGTCCATCTTGAATAAAATAGATACCCTGAAACACATCCAACCAGAATAGGATGTCTGCTGATACCAATTGAAATTTTGTTATGTCAGAACCAAGACGTCTAACACAATGTTGAAACAATTGGAAGAGAAGATAATTTGAATCAAGGTGTGAACAATATAAACAAATAACAAATAAAGAGTATAAATAATTGATAATTTAGTCAAGTATAGTGTTACTTACGCGTGGAGGACTCTAGTCCAAAGAAAAAGAATTAATTCAATTAGTCAATACTACACGACAGTCTCATATGAACTCTCTCAATTTAGTGTCACGTTTCTAATATTATATGTGAATTTCAACGCATGATCCCTTTATTTTCACTCAACCACTCTCCCAAGTGTTTGCGGTGTAATTAAAATCACAATTACAGATCAAATACACTACTAATATGAAAGATTCTCTAAGATAGAGGATTACACAAAAAACTAAAGACAAAGACTCAAGACAAACCTATTACAACACACGTAAAATCTTTTTTCAAAAATCTTCAAATAAGACGAACCTTATCTTTATAAAAAAAAAAAAACTTTTAGCCAAAAGTCCAATAGATTCAACCAAAAATCACCTGAATCTAATATTCAAGAAATCAAATCTTTTAAATAAAACCAAATATTTTAACTAAATTCAATTAAACATTCTTTATTCATATTTATAATTTCCTAAAATCTTTTTCAAACAGATTTAGATTAAAAAACATCTTTTCTCAACGAAATCTCTACAAACTTTTGATTGAACTAAATCTAAATCTAAAAGCATGACTCAAATATTAACTATACAACAGGCCTTACAATCTATAGTGGTCCATCTTTGGTCATTTTTGGTTCTACAATATGAGGTTCATGTTAAACCATGACATCATTTCCTAAAAGTATCAAGTTTCAATTTCAACCACCATCTACATTTAGCCACCCCCACCTACATGTTTTGAATAAATTAGGCCGGCAAGTTGGCTAGTAAGTCATTTCCTTCAAATTTTTCTCCCTCTAAAAAAAGATGATATATATGTATCAGTATCTGAAATCGACACTGAGACTTGTAACTATTTCTGGTGTCTGCGATTCATAGCTAGCTAGACAGAACTTGATAACGATGTATAATTTCCAATGCTTTTTCTACTCTTTTGTTGATTTCATGTACAATTGGAAAAGGCTTTAGTATCTCTCAAAATCTACACTACAACATACATTAACTATGACTAAAATCAAAACAAACAAAAAAAAGACATAATCTATAAGGAGGGAAAATGAACAAATTTCAGAAATATGTAACATATAAATCACAAAATACCCTCCACAACTAATGTGCATTGAACACTTTCCAAAACTAAGCCTCTCAAGAAGTGTCTTCTACAAAAACTCTGAAGATGAACTCGCGAAACCGTCTCGAGTATAATCTCGGATCGACGGCCGAGATTGTGGTTGCATCATATTGGAATGATTTGTAGGCATGCTCAAGCTTTTTACTAATATCATAGTCTTGTAATATGTCTATTATACCAAAAAAGATTATGATTTCGTATATGTCTCCGGTTGGTTCTCCAACCAACTGAGGCGTGTCGCAACTTTTCCGCGTCGTCATTTCGGCTCGCGCTGGCATGCTTATACCTAACTGAATCCACCTGAAATATTGAAACATTGTTCAAAATTTTCAGAAAATGTTACCATTTAGTTACAACTTTTGCTATTATGAGGTTAATGGTTATAGACTATACCGGCTAGGATCGACTACGATACGATCTATGTCTACGCCAGACAGACGAGGAGCTCCATCATCGAAGTTACCTGTCATATATGTTAATGGATTCAGAAAAAATTCGCGTGGAGAATATAAAAACTAAGAAAATCAATATAAGACAAGACGTAACCGGTTGGAGTATGAGCGCCAGAACTGCGAGAAGGTGTACCGGCTTCACTACACGATAATCCTCGAAAATGTAGTCCTACCAACATACTGTAGTCCATGATTCTTTCTTGTTCGAGAAAGTCACAATCCCTATCCACTTGCCTGAATGAAGAAATGTTAGAAATATGAACTATCTGATCTTAATCCAACGGTTTAGACAATGTCTGCAGGAAATATCGCTCGATAGTCATGCACAATGCGAGTGAGAAAAGATGTGATTAATAAGTACCTGTGAAATTCTTGAAACCAAGACTTTCGCAACCGGAATATATAATTTAGGTCCAGGTCCTTGAGCGTCGTTGTAGGCTCTATTTCATCCTCGGATTTATCAGTTGTACGACCAAACGTTGAACCTTTCAAGTCAAAACGCCGATGGATAGCGTATTGCGAACAAAATAGGTTTCCCATGATGACGAAACGAACCTGAAATTTATCAAATGAAGTCGTTTATTATAAGTTCTTTTGTCGAATCAAAGTAGAAGTTCAAACCAAAATACAACATTACCTTCTTCTGTGAAGCTCCCGGTAGTTTAACGCAATGTAGGCCGAAGAACTTGGTGACTAGAGTGTTCTCGAACGCTCGGACGTGTTTGTAGTAACCAGGAAGCATTCGCAGAAAAACCTGCAATCATTTTAGACAGTTCGAACTGAAATATCATTCAGTAGTACATAAATAAAATGACAAATATAATGATACTACAAACTTAGCGCAGTTTCATTCGACTAAGTCAAGAAAACTTGGAACTGATGGCTTATATTATTTATGAGCTACTAAGAGGGAACTCACTTTTACTTCCGCTTTCTTCATGGTTTTTATCATGTATCGATCATCGTTGGTCAAATAAAAAAAGCTTCCACTTTTTCCGGGGGATGATAGCTCTCGAAGTGCGTCATTCCCACATAACGATATCATGTAATCAGCTGGATCTACTTTGAACAATTTTCTTAGAGCTCTGCAAATGTAAACGAAATGAACCCTTACGATCAGTGAATTCAGATAGCATATCGCATAACAATAGCGATTTGTTCATATCTTTGCATCAAAAGCTTACCTGAACACTACGGGACAATAGTCTTTCCATCGAAACTCGCAAGACGGGTGAGGCGGTGTGTGCTTGGATCCTTCCGGTGGAAACTTGGTCCATACTTTTTCTTTTGGATCAAACGCAGAAGACTTCAAATCAAGAGATGTACTTGGAGCAGGTCTTCCAACAGCATGTCTGTGCTATGGCACAAGAAATTAATAAAGATGCAATTAAAATTGGAATCAAGGAAGAAACAAAATTTAACTTTTCCATAGCATGGTAAAATAAGCCAAATCCTCATCCTAGAAGATGCAAGGTATCACACTATATATTGCTTAAAATGAAAAGCAAAAGCAAAAAGAAAAGCTACATATTTGATCTGCCGAGTATCGCGTATAGGTAAGTCAAATGTTATTCGACCGTGAATAACGTTTGGCTACCTGCTTCAGAATTGATTCAACTCTCGAAATCAAATCTACGTAAAAGCTAATATTTCCAGCTTCTGCGGTAGAATAGAATCAATTCTCGAATATATTGACACACAAAAGCAACTCTGATTCAAATTATCCAAACATAAATAACTTTACGCCCAAGTCATGTTAAACCAAAACCAGGTAAAATCAATTTTCGGTGCGGTAGAACCTAACACTACTAAACACAGAAAAATGATAGCAAAACACATAAAAAGTAAAAAACTATGATAAGTACCTGATACCTAGCTGCAAATTAAGCATAAGCTCATAGTTCTTATGACCTTTGGAAATCGTCTCTCCTTGTCTCTTCGTAGTCTTTAATCTCAAATTCGGAACTCGTGGAATCGAATGATCAATCATAGGACTCCTTGATCCATCATAACTACTATATGAACCATCTTCAGAACTATAATTACTAATCCTATCATCTCCTAAATTCCGTTTAGGCTTTCCATTAGCATCAAAACCTTTCTTGGATAACAACTTTTTATTACTACTATCTTCCCCTAAACCAAACATGTTCAAATTCTTTTGCGAAGGAAAAATCGAAACTTTCTCTAAACCACAAACACGACAATCATTCAAATCAACCGAATAAAGGTCCATCGGATCCCAATCGGACGGAATATCATCGGAAGGATCATCATCATCAGAAGGATTATAAGTACCACTTTGTTCGTTCGGATCTTTACTCCAAACACCAGCGTAAGAACTACCATCACTCCATCGAAACGTCCCTTTTCCTTTCGGAAAACCATCCTCCCAACAACCATCATATCTATTCCCATTTTGCCACATCAAAGAACCATTTCCATTACACAAACCATTCATCCATTGACCAATGTAATTATTCCCATTCTTCCATTGATACCTACCATGTCCATTTTGCAAACCTTTCTTCCATTCACCATCATAGAAATCACCATTACAATAACTTTGTGTCCCTTGTCCATTTCTCATATCCATAACCCAAAAACCTTTATAAGTATCACCATTAGAACCTATATAAGTACCTTTACCATCCATAAAACCATTTTTGAAATCACCTTCATAGGTAGCACCACTGGGCCAACTAAACCTACCTTTACCTGTGATATTACCTTTTTGCCATTCACCTACATACATACAACCATCTGTCCATAGATACTTACCTTGTCCATTTGGAAAACTGTTTAGCCATTGACCCGTGTAGAAATCACCATTGCTGAGAATCTTCTCAACCTGGTAAACATCATCATCAACATGGGCAACAGACATTGGTGTTGTGAAGATTCTATTAGCCCTTTTCTTAGGTCCAGCTGATTTCCTAACTGCTGCTTCCCAAACCTTCACAATGCTGTTAAACTCTTTGTTCATTGATTCTTACCTGAAAAGATTACAACTTTCCACAACACCATTCAACCCTTTAACGGCTTTCAATGCATAAGACTAAAGTTGCAGAAACCATTTCTGCAGAGAAGAAAATCTGATAAAAAAACCAAACCCAAAAGCAAAGTTTCAAACTTTTCCTCGGATTTTGGTTCCTTATTTGGTTTTGAAAAATGGGTTGTGTTTAGATTTTGATGATAGAATTAGAAACTTGTGCTGTTAAGATTGACAGGGAAAGCAGAAAAAGGTTGGTTGGAACAGTAACTGGCTTTTGTTTTTTCTTTTCTTTTATTTTTTCTCTGTCTTTTTTTTTGGGTAATATTTTTTAATCTTTTAATTTTAATTTTATTCTCTTTTTGTTTTTTTTTTCTTCTGCTTTTTGTTTGTTTTCTTTCTTTAGATGATTTCGACCAAAGAGATTCACCTCATCATTCTATTGATTCCGAATTTGGCTCCTAAAATTAATAGCAAACAAGACAATTTGATGATTAAAATTGTGGTGAAGAGCTTCTCAATGCCATTTTTAGCAAATTTAATATAATCCTCTTAATTTTAGTTTATAATTAATACATACATATATATATATATATATATATATATATATATATATATATATATATATATATATATATATATATATATATATATATATATATATATATATATATATATATATATATGAAGAAAAAAAATCCTAGATATATTAAATAATTATCTTTCTTTTTGTTTTGCACTACTAACAAAAAAAACCATTTTATATTACTAGATAGTATCAATTGACTTTGGCATTTTTTATAGAGCCAAAAGACTAATTAAAAAGTGTTTCTTTATGTCATGCAAGTCATTACTCATAAGCCTATAACAGAATCTTGTTAATGAATATATATATAAGATTGGACAAATTATTAATTTATACTCACTTTTAATAATTATTTCAAGATTTTTAATATATATTAAAAGAAATTAAAAAGTCTTATTATTTTTCGAAAAATAGTTTTCATTTTAGTAATAATATTTTTAGAAACTATAGGCTAATATTATTTTGGCAAAGTTTAGATTAAATAGAAAGTTGGATTGTTATTTTGTGTTAAGTGGAGAGACATGTGAGCCATTATGTGTTGGTGAACTACCTAGCATCAAATGACATATTTTCGGAGATTTGGACGGTGGTGTCTATAGTGGTTCACTATATTAAGAAATTTCTTTGAATGCATAATAAACAATAAATATCTAATTTTAGTGGTTCCAAATAAAAACAATTTAAACTACTTTGGCTTAATTGTAATTATGATTCATCTATTTTGTATTTTTTTAAGTTTTGATTCTTCCATTTTAAAAAATTATTATTAATTTTTATATTTAATTAATTAATCAAAATTTTATTTGAAACACTTTGGGTTTAACCTTTTAATTCCATGTCTTTGGTCCATTTTTTTAACACACAATTGATTTGTTGTGTTTGTGTAAGATATATAAACACAAACAACATTTGTAATGAAAACAATGTGGGACTTTAGTGGGTTAGTGACTTTGTAAGCTAAATAATGAAAACTATCACTTCCTGCTTCTTTTTTCCTCCAATAATATTGTAGATAATACATCTTCTCTATAATGGGAATGGATTGACTAACTTTGATGGGTTGGTGGGTTGGTGACTTTGTAAGCTAAATCATAACCAAAGTTACCAAAGTTATGGAAAGCCAAAGTCACCTAATCCATTCCCTCAAAGAGAAGTGTAAATGATAAAACCAACTGGTATATTTATTATAACTGAAAATAGGGAAGAATGCCCTATGATGATTACAAACAATGGCGGCACTTCGATGGTGTCGCGGTGAAAATCAGATACCAAACTATTAATTAGTTTGAATCTTTTTCATTTTTGCAACCGAACTTTGATTTGTCCAAAGGAAGGGATAAAGATCGAAATTCCCACAATGCAATGCAAATGCAAGGTTTAGAGAGTTATAGGTTCGGGGGTTGGTTAAACTTAGGGAAGGTACTAGCATCCTAAGTTTCTGTAGTACTCTACAGGAACCTCTTGTTTTATATTTGTTTATTGCTAAGTGCTTATCTGCTTAAGGTTAAGAGACCTAGGGGTTTATTTCTAAGTATACTCGATAAGATGTCGCATCTTATGCCTACATATTCTTACGGGAGTGGAATCAGAGTATCTGTAGTTCCCCTAAAGAGTTAGAGGAGTTCTTTGACTGTGGTCAAAGTTCCTACGGGTTTAGGGTAGTTGATTGATTGATTTTAGGAGAAAAGATGAGTTGTCATTTTAAGGGAGATTTAACCGCCACAAGTTGTAGGAAAATAGTATTTGCATTGTATTAAGAGAAAGGCTCAAGTACTCGGATAGGGATCGACGAGGTACGCCTCTGTCTCTCTTAAGGCAAAGTTCCCGCGGTATTAATTGTATTGATGTGGGGTGGAGATTCTATCTCGCTTAAGATGATTAACATCTATTTCTCTATTGTGTTTGAATATTTGTATTGAGTTGTTTTTGTTTGTATCTATGTTGTAAAGATAACGGTCCTTCCTATGGGGTAGGCTCTATCCTAGAGATCAACTTGAATGGGATCAAGGATCATGGGGAAAATGATGTGAATGATGTGCACTACACACAAGTGTTGACTCATGTGTAGGTTTTTCCTTTGGACGGGATGCGATAAGATAAGATAAATTGTGGTGATATTAAATGCGGGAATAATAAAGGGCAAATAGGTAAACATACACATACGCATGAAAGCGCTGAAGTGTGTGAGAATGAATGTGTCGTGAATGTGAGTGTGCGTGATTGTTTACGGTGTTGGTTCATTTGAATTGAATCGATTTTAAGGGGAATGTTGAGTTGATTTTATGAGGAGATTATTTTTATGAGAAAGAAATATATTGCTCTTGGTGAGATTGGTTTTAAGAAAGGGTTGAATTGGTTTTAGGCGATGTTCTTTAAGTAAAAGGTTATAATATGCTAAATGATTTATAAAACTTAAAATGATTTATTTTAATTTTATGACTATTAAGAGTTGAATTAGGTTATATGGATTATATAAAAAAGTATTTCATTATTTAACACTAACTAGGTTTTATTATTAATTATAGATAAATTGGTAAATATGAATTATTATTATTATTAAAAAAACATACCAATTATTTAAATTATATGAAAATATTGTCCTTATATTATTTTAGAAGAGAATAAATTATAATCTTATAAATTAATTATCATATTATCTAGAAAAGGGTTTATAGTAAAAAGTATTATTAAATCTAATAGAATGACGTTAAATAAAATAAATTGAGTGAAATAGAAATAAGTTGGTTTTATTAAAAAAAGTTGATGAAGAAGTTAATTAGTTTAGAAACATATTATTTTAAATAAAGGTTATTAGCAAACACAATGAAAAGTTGATTAAAGGGATAAATTTTAAATAGGTTCTTTTTAGGATTAATTAGAATAAAGGGGCTTATTTAAAGTGGCTGATTTAAAGGGACTAATTACTAACTAATTAATTAGGTTAATTATAGGTTAATTGTTAATCAAATCAGATTAGAGGTCTAAAGGTGGTTAACGGATAATTTAGTGTGGTGCGGGTGTATTGGTTATGGTGGGCGCGCAGAGTGTGGATCATAAGACCGTGATCAAGCGGTGATAAGTGTCTGTGGTGTGAGGGTGCATTATAACTATAGCAGGGTGTATATACATGATTACATCAATGAAATGACACGTAAACCCTAATCCCCTAATTGGCCCCTAATTCCTTTCTGCCTCCGTCATCGATCCGTTTTCTCCGTTTCTCGATCTCGTTTTCTCTGTTCCGCTGTGAGCTTCCTTCTCTTCTCCATCAATCTCCGATTTCTTTCACCTATTTCTCCCATCTTCGATCGCCCCTCCCCTCCTAATGTTTCCGCCATCACTCCTTCTCGCTTCTTCTACGACCTGTTCTTCTTCGCCCTTTTCGACCCATCTAAAAACAAAAACAAAAACTATTAATCAAAAACAAAAGAAAACTCACGCCTAAATGGTTTTACGGGTTCCGGTTGACGATGCGTGGACTTTGACGGCGGTTCGTGGAAGTGGCTATGATTAAGTTTGTCGAAGGGTTTCGCGGCGGATTTCGAGATAAGTTTCTTATCATCCTTTGATTACGAAATTAATGTTGATTTGGGGCTTATTGGGTTTCTGTCATTTGGGATTTTCTGTGGAAATCTGGGATTGCTGTGAATTGGCTTAGTTTGAAACTCGTGGATTTGTATTACTCTCCTTTCCTAATCCTCTCTCCCTTTGGTTCAGATGTGGACTCCTTTTATAGCATTCAGGTTGCAAATCGAATTGATAGGTAATAATGAACCTTCCCTTTCTGTACCAAATTGTTTTGGAAATTATTTGAATCTGTCTAAACTCATTTGGAAATAAAGTTAAGCATTGCCTTAAAGATGTATTGTCTTGATTTCTGTTTAACTTTGTGCAGCTGGCTACATCAGAGGGGCAAGTACGATATCGCAAAAAGGAAAACTGGATGAAGGCAACTTCACTTCATATTTAGCTTGATCAACTGGAATCATCCTGGCCAACTGTTCGTTTGAAGGATCAAAGGCGTATGCATCGTGTTCCAACTCTTCAACTGTTCCAATCTACTTTTGCAGTAACAACTGTTTTGAATCATGTTCTTGGAACACCTTGGACTGTAATGAGGGAGCTACTCTTCGTATACAGCCATGTTAATTCCCACAGACGATTGTCCCCTAAACCACTCAAATCAATATCTAGAGCAGCACTTATCTTGTAGATAAGGAAAATAAGGTTGAACATACTTCTGAATTTCTTGCTTGACAGATACCATATGTTGCAGGTTTTCGAATCGTTTTTGTCTCAATTTCTTTTCTCAGACTATGTGTATGTGCTTTGCTGTGATGTCGTATTGTGAATCCTTTCTTTCTCTGGTTTAACAGGTTGGTAAATCCTTCCTCATGATAATAAGGCC